AAGGGGGGGTCAGAGCAGAGACCCAAAACCCATCTGTAGACATTGGGACACCCCCTGACAGCAGGGTCACAAGGAAGAGAGAGTCAACCAGGGCTCAGTCTAGCACCGATGAAACACACAATATTCCTCTAGTTCTTTGAGGCTTCCTCACTCCCCACTATCATGACTCCAGTCCTGCCTTTCACTGCAGGGCTAGACCGGAGCATGCACACAGGTACAAATAAGTGATAAGAGCTCACTATACACAGGATCCAGGAACAGGAATGGGAGTAGTGATACCAGGAGGGCAGGAGGAAGGTGGGGAGAGGAGGGGAGGAAGGGGAACTGATCACAATGATCAACACATAACCACACACACACACACACATCCCAGGGGGACAAACAACAGAAACGGTAGGGAAAGGGAGACACCGGACAGTGTAAGATATGAAAATAATAATAATTTATGACTTTCAAGGGGTCACAAGGGTGGGAGGAGGGAAGAGAAGGTAAAAAGAGGAGCTAATACCAAGGGCTCAAATAGAAAGTAAATGTTTAGAAAATAATGATGGTAACAAATGTAGAAATATGCTTGATACAATTGATGTATGGATTGTTTTAAGAGCTGTAAGAGCCCCCAATAAAATTATCTTTTGATTAAAAATAAATAAATACAATCAAAACAAAACAAAAACAAGACATGTGATCCTCAGTCATTAACTTTAAAATCCCATCAAGCTAAGATTAAAGAACTTTGTCCTAAGGCTAATAAGAGTCATCATACTCCCAGTTTCTTTACTTTCTCTGATGCCAGCAGGAGTAGCAGTTGATTTTTACGGAGGGAGGGAAAGGAAGAAAAGCAGATTGGCTTCCTTCCATTGGGAAAGAAAAAGTTTTCACTGATTTCTACACTGCTGCAGAAATGCGTACAGAACAGGTCCCAGGCACTGAACATGTGCTGCACACCAGCCTCACAGCTCACAAAATCAAGTGTGGGCACCCAAACAAAATAAAATTGTTCATGGTCATTCAGAAAAAGGTAGAAATCTTTACTCTTTGTGCCATAGGTACACATATATGTAGCCAACCTACTTCATGAAAAGCCACTGATAGCAAGAGAAAGGTAAAAGTGCTATAAGAAAAGTAGGCCCAACTGTTTCCTTATGCTTTGAAATCGCCTACAGCTGCTGAGTTAGCATTGACTCGATAGCAGTGAGTGTGTTCTTTATCCGACTATTCCCTCTGTCCTT